ATGTGCGCTGTGCTGCCGCTCCCATAGCCCTGCCGGCAGCGCGGCGCCTGGCGGGGCCCCTCGGGAACTTTGATGGCTTCTTTGAGGAGAGTCAAAGTCCTGCTGGTGTTAAACCTGATCGCCGTGGCCGGCTTCGTCCTCTTCCTGGCCAAGTGCAGACCCATCACGACCAAGAGCGGCGACTCCTTCCATGACATCCATCCCAGGGCGGAGGTGGCCAACCTGACAGCCCACGGCATCAGCTCCATCCAGGATGCGGTGCTGAAGAGGCTCTCGCTGCTGGAGGACATCGTCTACAGGCAGCTGAACGGTAAGAGCGCTTCTCCTGCTCTCCAGTGCCTGGGGTGGGCTCGGTGCTGGTGAATCGGGGCTCGCAGCCGGTGCTCGCCCCAAGTTTCCGTGCCGGACCCTGCTCTCCCCCTGTTGTGCCAGCAGAGCCTCCAGGAATGAACAGATTGAACCCCGGAGCTCGGGGTGCCTTGCACAGGATGGAGGGAAGGGCGATAACAGAACGCTGCCTTTCAGATTTCCAAGTGTCGGAATCTGACAGCGGCAGGATTTCTGCATCAAACCAGCCGGGTGAGCACGGCTTGGAGCAGCGCAGGGGGCATGGATCGAGGGAATGGCTTTTTCACAGAGCTGCCTTTGGAAGGGAGTTCTCAAATGGCTCAAGTGTGTTGCATCATTTGAGTGCAGAAGGTCAGAAAGCAGAAGACACTTTCTCTGAGAAGTTAAGCAAACTATTCAGTATCTCCTATGGCTCAGCACTGACAGCTGCTAATTAAAATCTCAAGTAATGCTTCTCTTTATAGCACAGAAAAGGGATTTCTATTAAAATCTCACCAGGTTCAGTAGTTCAGAGACGTAGAAAGGGAGTTTTAAAGATGCTGTGCAGGATAGAGAAACACATTGTAAAGATGTAAGAAATCTAGGTGAGGTATCTAATTAAAACACTCACAGTGGAAGCTGATTTTTTTAAAGTTGTTCCCCACAGATTCACAACTGGGGGTGTAATTTCAATCAAGGGTCTCGCTTATCGCTTCCAATCCCCGTAGCTTTAATCCCTGCGAGTTTCTGTGCGTCGGAATGAGCAGAGTTGGTGTTTCTGGCAGTGTCAGTGGGATTCCCTCTCTGAGTTTGGCATATGGAGCTCGTGCCCTGTCCTGTGCTGAGCCCAGAGCTGCTGTGTGTGTGCTGATCCCAGAGCTGCTGTGTGTGTGCTGATCCCAGAGCTGCTGTGTCTGTCCTGATCCCAGAGTTTCTGTGTCTGTGCTGATCCCAGAGCTGCTGTGTGTGTGCTGATCCCAGAGCTGCTGTGTGCTGTGTGTGTGCTGAGCCCAGAGCTGCTGTGTGCTGATCCCAGAGTTTCTGTGTCTGTGCTGAGCCCCAGCTGTAGCTGCTGTCACCCAGGGCCAGAGGCAGGTCCAGGGATGCTGTGTGCCTTTCCTGGAGCACTTGGCTCGGGCAGTGGCTTTGGGGACAGCACTGGGGCACTCAGCTGAGGGATCAAGTGTGACTGATATCCCTGCTGTGTCCACTTGCTGTGTAAACCTGTCCTGCCTGTGCCTGGCACCACGAGATGCTGAAGCAGCACTGCTGAGCAGTAAACAGAGGAGAAACGTAGGAATAATGAGGAATAAGGTAGAAAGTTGAATGTGAAAGACTGTGAAAGTGCCTGCTCCTGGATGCTGCTGGGGCAGAAGTTTCCAGCAGATATTTGGGCAATAGCTGCAGCTCGAGATGAGAGCCCATGTTCCAGCAGTGGGCTAGGACAGGACAAGTGATCATGCAGCAGTGTGCCATCCCTGCAGACACAGCCTGGGCTGGGGTTATTCCTTCCTGCCCTTCTCTGGGGGTAAATGTGGGGCTCTCCACTCTGCCCTGCCCCGGGGGCTGCTCCTGGTGCTGGCTGGGGCTGCTGAGAGCAGCCCAGGGCCAGGGCCAGCGCTGTCCCCAGGCTGCTGTGGGCTGGAGCCTGCTCAGTGCCCAGCAGCTCTCATGCACCTACACACCAGGGGGGGCAGAGGGGGAATGGATATGTTGGCATATCACAAACGCTTTCTCAGGGCAGGCAGAAAGCTGAGCACATAAATGTGACATCTTGTCTGGCCTCTGCGTCCTGGGGTGATTTATGGCAGCGCTGATGGGTCTGGCTGAAAAACAGCTCTGGCACAGTGCTTATGTAACTTTGGGTTCAGTGTGTATTTGGTGCTGTGGTTTTGAGAGAAGCTCAGTGATCTGAGGGGTGGCTGTGGGCTGTGCTGGGACAGGGCTGGGGTTACAGCAAGATGTGGGGGGCCAGGTGAGCCCCATCCCCACCCACCAGCACTGAAAGGAAACAGGGGCAGCCCCTGGGACTGAGGATGAGGAGCAGCTGGATTGGGCTTTCCTGGCAGGAATTTTCTGTGCCTGGATCAGCTTTCATCCTGGGCACTTGAGGAGCACCTGAAATCTCCTCCCTGCTGGGAGTGTGCAAACTGGAGCTCAGCACTTCCCTTGGATTTCGGTGGGGGTGCCTCACAAACCCCACCCCAGCTCTGGGCTAAGCTCCCTGCACAAGCCCCCACCCACAGATGAGATTTCCCTTCTGCTTCTACAAGGTCACGTTTCATTTGAAATCTGAAATCTGGTTTAGCAGCTACAAAGCCATGGAATAAAGTATCCATGGGGTGGCAAGTGGAGCCCTGGCACTGACAGAGCACTGGGAATGTTTGGCCAAAGAGAGAAGCTCCAGCCCGGTCTGAGTGCAGCCAGCTATGGATTTCTCCTGCATTATAGGACTTGGCTGGGTTTCAGTGGGTGTTGAAGCCATCTTTAAAAACCTGAATGTCCTCAAAAGCTCCATTCTGTGCAGATGAAATGAGCAGTCTGCTCATACCATTGCAGTGGGTTTGGTTTGTGAGTCATGTAGTGTAAAGCATATTGGAAATAACAGCTCTCGGTGGTGCAGCAGCCCTCATGTTTCATGTGTGTGTATTTATTTATCTCTGTAAAGGTTGGCCATCAAAACAAGCTAAACACCACTGCTTTGGCTCTGGGAAAGGAGGGATTGGACACAATCCTCCTGTCTGAACGGTGTTTCACTGTCAGGGCATTCTGGAAATAACACCAGGCTCCTTCTTCCTCCTCTCTGGGCAAGAAGAGCTGTCCCAAAGGTGGCCCAATCTGTGCATTTGCTTTGTTCTTTCTAGAGGTTGATTACTGCTCTTCAACTTAACAGGTTGTGTAGGGTTTGCTCATCTGTAATTAATTAATTAATGGCTCCCACACACAGAGGTCTGAGGGGGCCCTTTGGAAGGGAGGGCTTTGTGTGTGCAGGACTGATCTGGGAGCTCAGAGGGGCTTTAATTTCTCCTGTCTCTTTTATGGATGGAATTCTCTTGTCCAGCAGATGTCCAGAGAAAGGTAATGAAGGTCAGAAGGGAGCGTGTGTATTTTACTCTGGGTGTTAACTACAAGTTCTCTCTTTGATCCAAGTCTGGTTTCTGTGTGCTGACATTTACATAAGTACAAATTGTGATCCAGATTATTTCCAATTTCTTGGAGATTTGCACAAATGAACTTTTCAGTTTACAAAGAGGGGGTTTCTGTGCTGTGTGTCCAGGTGAGGAGCAGAAGGGAGCAGAGATGCAGAAGGGAGCACTCAGCATTCTCTGGAGCTGTGTTCTGCATCCTGGGAAATACTGGGCAAAGTCTTCCCATCAGCTCATCCCATTCCTCCGGGGCTAATGCAGGAACCCACTGATGGCCATGAGGACTTTGAGAAACTGGGCATTTACAGAGCAGAGACAGCAAAGGTGGGCCAAGCTTTTAACGTGGCAGTGGCTGGAGGGTGAGTGAAGGGCTGGAGGAGAGCTGGTGTTTGTGTCCAGCCCAGAGGTGCAGGGGTGGGGCACTAAATGGTGCTGCCTTTGGAAAATAAACACTGCAGGAGGGAGAGAACTCTCAGTAAACCCCGGG